TTTCTCATGAGTTTGCAAAGCGGTAGGTATCGTTGGATCCGGTGCTGCTCTCGCGGATGCTGCAAACTCGTCCCTCTTCGTGAGGGTTATAGTCATAGAAATTTTTGCGTCGGCTATTGGCTTGTTTGGAATGATAATTGGAATTTTACAGGTAAAAAGTATCAAGTACTTCCTTGTCTTACAAGAAATCCATCTTCCATGTGGTTGGAATAAGTTTTCTCTCATTTGTAGTAAGCTCGCTACATCAAGAGTTCTCTATTTCCAGACTAACAAGGCCACCATTGGGCACTAATAGCAATACATATGAAGCATAGGTCGTCTGGAATTTCAAGAGTTTTTCTCAACATCACAGAGAAACCCGACTTTTTCGATTTGTTGGAGATCTGTTCTCGTGAAATGAAGTGTTGGTAACTGGTGCACACACTGTTCCAGTTTGAGCAAGACTAGTTTTGCTTGCTACCTGGTACTAGTTTTGTAGAAGTCCTTGCGAGCGATGCGTTCTTTATCTGCACCAAGTCTTCTTCTGGTCATCTTTTAAGCATAACTATAATAGTCAGACCACGTCATACGTTGGGGAATGCCCAACGGGGAAGAGGAATCATATTCGCTCGCTGGGGAGGGAAGTCGTACAGACAGCGACATTTCCGGGTGAAACTAGAAAACTCGAGGGATTCCGGGACAAGGATCAGGAAACCGAGGTCCACTTTCACTGCGCGCCCCTCGGACAAAGAAAAAATGTTTGTGCCCTACAGTCTTCACCGGCGACCCTCTGCTGACCTTAATCCGCTTTTTTCCGGTGTCTGGAGTGCTCTGAAACTATTTTACAGATTTTTCGTCTGACTCCGCCCACCTTGAAGCAGGCTCCGCCCACAATGTTTTTGCCCCAATCCTCACCGGCGACCCTCTGCTGACCTTAATCCACGTTTTTTCCGGTCTTTGAAGTGCTCTGGGACAGTTTTAGAGAATTTTCGTCTGGCTCCGCCCACGGGCTGGCCCCGCCCACAATATGTATACCCCACATTTCTCAATCGGCGACCCCTTGCTGACCTGAATTCACTTTATTCCGGTCTTCGGAGTGCTCT